TCACGTAAGTACGTTTTCATTTAAAGGATTTGCCACTGATGTTTCAAACGCGAGTTTTGAGCAGTGTAGAGTAGCACTTGTTGTTTGTCATTTCTCCGATCACAAATGCAGACATGGTTTTATGTTTACGCGGCGCGATGCAACGCAACACGTAAAAAGACAGTATAAGTCACTATAATCCATAATTATGTCCCCACTGGATGCAGCAAATGCCTCGTTTATAATGGGTTTTAATGTTTTTGTCTCGTCGCGCCAGGACACGGCATCATCACAGTATGGTGAGGGGCGTAACATTTCCGTCTCACGCTTGAGGTATTCGGCCAATCACAACGCACTGGATAGCGGGCCAATCAGAGCACACCTTGCTTTTCAGACTGATGAGCTTTGTAAAAATCAAGACGTTTCAAAAAGGCGGGGCATAGAGGAGAAACAACAATGTGCAGTATGTGGAAAATAATGTGTTTTTTTAAACTTTAAACCGCATAAACACATTTCATTACACCAAATACACAAAATAATGTTCTTTTTAGTAGCATCATATGACCCCTTTAATGGTTTCTTATGATACTTTTGGGAAACACAGCCCTGTTTGAATACACTGTCATAACGCTCTCTGTGATTGATAAGTTCTGTCTTGCATCATTTGGGATCAGATGAGCAGGAAAATGGTTCTATCCTACACAATAATTTGTCCAATTCAATGCATATTGTACACTAAATTTGTTAAATAAACTAAATCACTGGTAAAAAAAAAAAAACCTTAGTGTCGATATTATTTTATTTGAGAATCCATACTTTCGATACTCGCATCAGTATCGATATATATCAATAGTTCAGGATCGATATGCTCATCCCTAGTCGTGACAATTCAACATGGTGAAACACATTGAGGGGCGACCCGCACCATACAAATAATTCAAAACGTTTTATAGAAAACTATTATAAATACAGTCTTCATCTCATGTGCATGCACCATTCTACAGAAGCCTGTTTCCGCCACGGAATAACAAATAAAGCTAACTGCACATCTCTTTTTCTCTCAGTTTTGAAAAAAAAAAGGAATTGTGAGATAAACACTTGAAATTCTGAGAAAACAGGTCAGAATTACAAGAAAAGAAATCAGAATTCTAGGAAGTTTTAGAGTTCAGAGTTTTAGGAAACAAAGTCCAATAAAAATTAAAAAGGTAATTGTGACTTTATTATTATTATTATTATTCCACGACTGAAACATGCTTCCATTCTATTGAGGTGATGCTGCACAAAAACACAACATATTTATTAATGTGTAAAACATTTAAAATTATCACCAAATGACTACTGCACCTTTAAATTTGTAAGCTCCAAGTCTGAACTAACAAGTAGGACCTTGGTTGCGTCCGAAATCGAATACTCTCTTGAATATGCTCTTATTTTGAATTAGTAATTACTTCGTGACCGCAAAAAGAGTACGTCGTATGAATGTGTGTTCAATAGTATGAACTTAAACTGAATGTACTACAGTCACCATGTTGTTCCTGTCACGTGACCTACCAGCACCAGCTGTGTCACTTCACTGCCATTCCTAAATCCTGTCCTGTGGCCTCATGGGATAGTAAAGTGTCCATCATATGCACACTTCAGAATCACCCCAGAACCGGGTACTTTTTGCCTACTCTTTTATGATTACTGTGAATTCGGACGCATTTCTTTTTTCACATACTGTTTTTTGCCTACTGTATAGTAGGGAAGTTTGTCATTTCAGATTTTTTCTTGTCTCAGTAATGAAGTAAACACAACACACCGAGGTAACGTGGCATTTCTTGTTTTAATCTGATTATATTTCGCAGAGCTTAAAATATTAAGTGGCTTTTAACTTAAGATAATTAAAATACATAAAAAGAAAGCAAGAACTGAGTAGCTCTGCAAATAGATAAAAAAGTAAACATAAATAAGGAGGAGAGATGCTCTCTCGCTAAAGGCAATTATTGTGATTTCTTATATAGTTACAGTCTATTTCTTGAGAAACAGAAAATTAACGTGCATTTTCTACACACGTGGGCCGCCACAATATCCATGACCTCTGATAACTTAAGAATAAAAACGTGAATTAAAAATTAAAAGTTGCGACGCTGAGGATGTGCTCATCAATGCAACACAGTCAAAGTCAACTGCCATGCAACAATGCAGCGTCTCTCTGAGCGAGCAGACATCGCCGATATCCTTATTGGAAACCTACAAAGCAAGTCCAGACTTTCTCTAAAGCATCATTCAAACCATCAAACCCTCTATACATCATCTTAAAAGGCTAATAAGTACATATAGAACCATCGTAAATGATTTAAAGAACATAAAGAAATGGATAATGATGGCTAGAATATGAAAAAGAGAGATTTTGCACAGTTTTATGTGAAATAAGGCTGCAGAGATCATAAACAGTCAGTCGGTGTGTGTGTGACGTCACTCCCTCCACAAGGGGGAACCAGAGGTCAATGATAACTTTCTAGACATTGTTGCATATAAACAGACAATACCGTAGCTACAAATCTAAGGCACTGATGAGAGCCGAGCTGAAACACCATTCCCTAAAAGAAAACGAAAACCTCCGCGAGCGCAATGCGCAAAAGTAATAATAAAAATGCAAATTAAAATATAAATTGTTCCTGTATAAATGAGAATGTAGACAGATTGTTTTTTCCTGTAGGAAACATTCACACCAATCTGTGCTGGTATGAGAACTGCAGACCACCGGCCTTCGGCCCCATCTTTTGAACAGTTCTCACGGTGAGAAATAGTGACGCAGGGGCCCTTCCAAAGAGGCCTCGCACGTTTCGTCGTCTTCCTCGAGTTCGAGGCTCATCTCTCGGTCACATGATTGTGTGTATGGGGCAGCAGGGGGGCGCACAGCACCTCCGACAGGTCGTCCATGATGCAGGTCTCCTTGGGCTCGACCAGATTGAATTCTCTGACGAAGACGATGAAATGTGTGTACAGTGTGTTCAAGTGTCCCTGCAGCTCCAGAGCCACGGTCTCTTTAAAGTGAGCCCAGTAGATGTGAGCCAGCACGTGAAACAGATACCGGCAGACCTTCTTCACCAGAGACTCGAACGAGTTGGGAAAGTCTTTGCCTGAAAGGAAATCGAGATATTTATCATTCAGCATTTATCACTGATTGTTAATGAAAAGAATTTAAAAGTAAATAAAAACGATAAATTATTATAATCACTTTAATAAAATGATTATTATTACAACATGCTAGGATTACCCACTAAAACCTTAATAAAAGGTATTTATAATATTTTGCAGGCCTTTTCAAACACTACAACAAAGGTGGAAATAATAAAATAAAGTCATGTATTATTTGTCATTCATTTTCAATTTCATTGCATTTATTGAATGAAAATTTAAGTAATTAAAAACATATATTATTAAAATAAATAATCAGGTTTAAATAAGAAATGAATAATGTAATTTATTGCTTGTAATGAAATCAATTGTTAACTGATGTTTTATTTTAAAGATCAAATATCTTGGATTACAAAAAAAATATTTATATTATTATTATTATTTACAATGATTTTTACTTTTATTAATATACTATTAGAGTTTCATATTTTGAATTACATTTTATTTTTATATTTTCAGTTTTCAATTTAATATGAGTTTTGTTTTAAATAATTTTGTTGTGCGCGTTGTCAGTTTTATACATTTTTGACTAAGTTAAATTGGTTTTTATTCAGTTTATTTTATAGTGCTTTTCTGTTAGTTGCAAAGGCTACATTTCAATGTTTTTAAAGTTTTAATTTTTTTATCTAATATTTATATCTTAAATCTATTAAACATTTTTTGTTAATTAGTTATTTTAGTTAACAATAAAAACCGTGAAAAATGCCCAGTGATACCAATTTGCCTTAAAGGGGTCATATGATGCTTTTTTAAAGATCATTATTTTGTGTATTTGGTGCAACAGAATATGTTGACATGCTTTAATGTTCAAAAAACACATTATTTTTCAAATACTGTACATTATTGAAGGTCCTCTATGCCCCGCCTCTCTTAAACGCTTCGTTTTCTACAAAGTCCCTCCTTCCGACAAGCGCAGTCTGAGGGGCGACCCGCACCATACAAATAATTCAAAACGTTTTATAGAAAACTATTATAAATACAGTCTTCATCTCATGTGCATGCACCATTCTACAGAAGCCTGTTTCCGCCACGGAATAACAAATAAAGCTAACTGCACATCTCTTTTTCTCTCAGTTTTGAAAAAAAAAAGGAATTGTGAGATAAACACTTGAAATTCTGAGAAAACAGGTCAGAATTACAAGAAAAGAAATCAGAATTCTAGGAAGTTTTAGAGTTCAGAGTTTTAGGAAACAAAGTCCAATAAAAATTAAAAAGGTAATTGTGACTTTATTATTATTATTATTATTCCACGACTGAAACATGCTTCCATTCTATTGAGGTGATGCTGCACAAAAACACAACATATTTATTAATGTGTAAAACATTTAAAATTATCACCAAATGACTACTGCACCTTTAAATTTGTAAGCTCCAAGTCTGAACTAACAAGTAGGACCTTGGTTGCGTCCGAAATCGAATACTCTCTTGAATATGCTCTTATTTTGAATTAGTAATTACTTCGTGACCGCAAAAAGAGTACGTCGTATGAATGTGTGTTCAATAGTATGAACTTAAACTGAATGTACTACAGTCACCATGTTGTTCCTGTCACGTGACCTACCAGCACCAGCTGTGTCACTTCACTGCCATTCCTAAATCCTGTCCTGTGGCCTCATGGGATAGTAAAGTGTCCATCATATGCACACTTCAGAATCACCCCAGAACCGGGTACTTTTTGCCTACTCTTTTATGATTACTGTGAATTCGGACGCATTTCTTTTTTCACATACTGTTTTTTGCCTACTGTATAGTAGGGAAGTTTGTCATTTCAGATTTTTTCTTGTCTCAGTAATGAAGTAAACACAACACACCGAGGTAACGTGGCATTTCTTGTTTTAATCTGATTATATTTCGCAGAGCTTAAAATATTAAGTGGCTTTTAACTTAAGATAATTAAAATACATAAAAAGAAAGCAAGAACTGAGTAGCTCTGCAAATAGATAAAAAAGTAAACATAAATAAGGAGGAGAGATGCTCTCTCGCTAAAGGCAATTATTGTGATTTCTTATATAGTTACAGTCTATTTCTTGAGAAACAGAAAATTAACGTGCATTTTCTACACACGTGGGCCGCCACAATATCCATGACCTCTGATAACTTAAGAATAAAAACGTGAATTAAAAATTAAAAGTTGCGACGCTGAGGATGTGCTCATCAATGCAACACAGTCAAAGTCAACTGCCATGCAACAATGCAGCGTCTCTCTGAGCGAGCAGACATCGCCGATATCCTTATTGGAAACCTACAAAGCAAGTCCAGACTTTCTCTAAAGCATCATTCAAACCATCAAACCCTCTATACATCATCTTAAAAGGCTAATAAGTACATATAGAACCATCGTAAATGATTTAAAGAACATAAAGAAATGGATAATGATGGCTAGAATATGAAAAAGAGAGATTTTGCACAGTTTTATGTGAAATAAGGCTGCAGAGATCATAAACAGTCAGTCGGTGTGTGTGTGACGTCACTCCCTCCACAAGGGGGAACCAGAGGTCAATGATAACTTTCTAGACATTGTTGCATATAAACAGACAATACCGTAGCTACAAATCTAAGGCACTGATGAGAGCCGAGCTGAAACACCATTCCCTAAAAGAAAACGAAAACCTCCGCGAGCGCAATGCGCAAAAGTAATAATAAAAATGCAAATTAAAATATAAATTGTTCCTGTATAAATGAGAATGTAGACAGATTGTTTTTTCCTGTAGGAAACATTCACACCAATCTGTGCTGGTATGAGAACTGCAGACCACCGGCCTTCGGCCCCATCTTTTGAACAGTTCTCACGGTGAGAAATAGTGACGCAGGGGCCCTTCCAAAGAGGCCTCGCACGTTTCGTCGTCTTCCTCGAGTTCGAGGCTCATCTCTCGGTCACATGATTGTGTGTATGGGGCAGCAGGGGGGCGCACAGCACCTCCGACAGGTCGTCCATGATGCAGGTCTCCTTGGGCTCGACCAGATTGAATTCTCTGACGAAGACGATGAAATGTGTGTACAGTGTGTTCAAGTGTCCCTGCAGCTCCAGAGCCACGGTCTCTTTAAAGTGAGCCCAGTAGATGTGAGCCAGCACGTGAAACAGATACCGGCAGACCTTCTTCACCAGAGACTCGAACGAGTTGGGAAAGTCTTTGCCTGAAAGGAAATCGAGATATTTATCATTCAGCATTTATCACTGATTGTTAATGAAAAGAATTTAAAAGTAAATAAAAACGATAAATTATTATAATCACTTTAATAAAATGATTATTATTACAACATGCTAGGATTACCCACTAAAACCTTAATAAAAGGTATTTATAATATTTTGCAGGCCTTTTCAAACACTACAACAAAGGTGGAAATAATAAAATAAAGTCATGTATTATTTGTCATTCATTTTCAATTTCATTGCATTTATTGAATGAAAATTTAAGTAATTAAAAACATATATTATTAAAATAAATAATCAGGTTTAAATAAGAAATGAATAATGTAATTTATTGCTTGTAATGAAATCAATTGTTAACTGATGTTTTATTTTAAAGATCAAATATCTTGGATTACAAAAAAAATATTTATATTATTATTATTATTTACAATGATTTTTACTTTTATTAATATACTATTAGAGTTTCATATTTTGAATTACATTTTATTTTTATATTTTCAGTTTTCAATTTAATAGTCAAGTTTTAGTCATTTTGTTGTGTCTGTTTTTATTCTAATGTTTTTTATTAAGGTTTAATTCATTTAGATTTAGTTATTTTAGTAAAATGAAAACGACAAATGTTGTAGCTGAAATAAAAAGTAAATATTTTATTTGAGTTAATAAAGTAATACGTTGTTTATGGTTTTAGTCTTTGTTAAACAAAATAACACCAATTTGTATATTAATTCAACCAAAATATTTATTTTTTTGTTATTATTTACTTTAAATGACCAGCAATAAACTAAATTGAAAACAAACCGGCACAAATTTTGAATTCATTTTCATTTCCTAACGAGTTGAACCCAGAAGAGAGCCAGAAGAAATTCTATTCACAAAACTCATTCTCCTCTATGAACACTAGAGGGCGCCACTGATCTAAGGAACTTGAATCTAAACTCTTGTACTTCTGTATTATGACTGCTAGAGGGCAGTGATTATACACACCGTATTTTGTGGGGAAGATATCTTCGTCCGTCACTAATTTCTGCACGAAAGTCATGACAAGGTCAACATACTGAGGTGCTGTGCACTTCGTCTTCTTCCCCCTCTCGTCATACCAGTAGTATATGCTGTAAAAGAAGACGACAACGAGTCAAAATTAACGTATTCACATTTCGAGCACTTCAGGACAAAGTGAACAATTTATGGTTTAAAAACGTACAGCTCCTATCAGCATTTTAAGGAGGACTGGCCATCGTAACAGTGAGTTTGGGAGGGTAGCGTGGGTTCGAGGGGCTGTAGACATTACAAATCTCTAGGAATGCAAACTGAACGCATAACTGACCTCACAGCAGAGAGCCACTGACCGCAAACCAACGCTGATCATTCAACGGATGAGCAGCCCACACATGAAACCAAACGGGACGAAATAAAGATCGCTGAACGTTGAACTGAAAGAACCGTCACGGTAAACTAAAGCACAATTAGCACGTAAACACAGACGAGTAAATATCGGGCTGAATGCTAGCGAGTGTCTGTGTTCTCAAATATCGTCCAACTACACGCTTGAGTTACAGATTTGAGAGTGGATTCCAAGCCCAAACACAAAAGTGCAAGTACTGAATCTACCTGCATTAAACTCTTCAATAAAACATGAAATATTCAGATTAAAAGGCCTACTAATCTAAACATGGTTATGCATAGTCATGAGTGGGTGTTTAAGCACAATATGTACAATAGAAACAAGTGTTTAAAAATAAAAACTAACATTGATTTTCTGAACTTTTTTGATACTTTTGTCATTTTTGACACTTTTTCAAATTTTAGTGGAAAAAACATTTCAAAATTTTTATTTTATCCTATTTATTAATTGTTTGTTTCATTCATTAATTTTTACAAAAATCTGGTTTAAAAGACTGTGAAAATTAAAACATTGAAACATTTTTGGAATAAAATGGCAAAACCTTTTTTTTTTTTTTTTATGTTTTCAAAATGTTACAATTTTCACACTACAAAATATTATGTTCACAAGTGGGGTTTACCTTGATTTTTCCCCCCCTTTATTTTTCATCACAAGTCTCACATTTCATATTAAGCTTTCTTACTAGCAAAAATGTACACATTAATATTTCGGTCATGGTGTAAATGACAACATGACGATGTCATAATTAGTTAAAAAAAGTTATAAATATTTACAAAATCAGTACTGAATTTAACTGTTACTTCAGATTATAGTTTTATTTATTATTTTTTTTAATAAAAAGTTTTCATAGTTTAATGGAGAAAATCTGTCTGGGACAAGGGTAAGAATCAAATTTAGGCATTAAAACAGTTTGAAAAAGATGAAAAATAAATGTAAATGCAATAAAAATCAACTCATAGGAAATGGAAGTGTATGTATTTCAAGAAACACCCACTGAACACACATAAGCGTAATACCTCAACATATATGACCACATTTATAACTCAAACTGAACATCAGGTCTTTTGTCTTTTGATCAGTAATTGATTTCTCAATGGACAGAGCGGCGCGGTGACGGTAAATAAGGCTCGTGTTTTGATGAGCGCACCCACCCATCCTTGTCCCGCGTGGAATGCCGGAGGTGAGCGTGTAATTGTTAGCGTTTTGTGTGTTGGTAATTCACGTCCTTTAACATCTGTCATGAATAGTCATGCTTCTGGTTCTACAGGGTCAGTCTTTAGAGACTCACACCCAGGCTTCACTGCGGCCAAACAGGGCGAACGAGTCGAGCAACGATTGTAACGTCAACACGGTTAAGCTGTGGGAATGTACAGATGGAGGCCCGTCTTTCCGTTTAACTTGTAGAAGGGAGATTCTACAATTACGGGCATTTTTTGAATGCTTGAAATCTGAAAATGAAACTTCTTGAATCTGTTTCATCAGCCTTCAAGTGGATTTTGGTATAATGTATAAGGGTGGATTATTAATAGTGTGTGTGATGGTAATGAGGTAATGTGACGGTATACTCAAAAACTGAGTGTTTTGGTAATAAAGCTGCTCTCATATCATAAAAAAAATTTAAAATCTAAGCCAATGACATTCCTTACTATGGTGTAATCATTTCCATCATAAATGAAGTTTAAACTATTTTATAGAAATTCAGTTCTCTAAAATGCTTAGTATGATGGTAATGACAGCTGCTTTGGAAACAGCAAATCTTCGTTATAGAAACATTATAAATTCTTCAAATAAACAAAAAACATTTTTGAAATATTATTACAGAATAAACTAATAATTATTGTTGATTAATAATGTAAATTAATTTTATATTTATTTTAAGTAATATTAATAAAACATTTTTATTAATAACAATATATTCTATTTATTTGTTTTACATTTATATTTATTCTTATATTTTTAACAACAGAACAACAACAATAATACTTTAATTATTGTGTGTATTATAAATTATTTAAATCATTTTATATAATAATGATAATAATAATACTTATTATGAATTATAAATTATTTAATATTATTATTGTTATTAGGCAAAAATACAAAGTTTTCTGGATACTTGCTATATATTATAGAGAAGTTGATACAATTTTAGGTAGGGGAATGCGCAAAATTGACATACTGGGAAATTTAAATGACACAATACTTTTAAAAATGGGTAAAAATAATGAGTGCTGGTCAAGAGACTAAAGTTGTAAGGTAAATATTGTCATAAGTAATTTTATAACTGATCTCTTTCATCTTTAGTTCGGGCCTCTGATCTTCCCAAACAGCCTGAGAGAACATTCAACTATAGGCATTTAAGGTCATTTAATTGGTTCCACCTCGAACAGACTTACAAAACCCCTCATTCTGAGAATAGCTCCCTTGTATTCTCTCGTTCAAAACGCATCTGAAAGCCAAACAAGCACTGGCTTCAGTAAGATGTGTGTCAGCTTTCATTCCAGTCATGCATTAACCCCAATCAGACCCACAAACCCAGATTCATCCAAAGCTAGTGTGCTGATCTGGGATCTGATCTTAAAATGCAAAAATATTGCGAATAGGAGAAATATCTGATCCAGAAGCAGTTCTCGTGAGAAGAGGGTTCTGGTTCTCAACCCAGGACATATCTGGAGGAAGAAAGAGCAAGAAAGACAGGCAATAGAAAGAAAGAGAAAGGGAAACTCACGTGTTGCAGGCCGTCATGGCTTGACATGTGTCCCCAGTGCAAAACTCTGAGATTGTGCTATACTGCAGATTTATCAGATTGAAGAAGGTTGTTGCTGCAAAGAACAAAAGAAAAAAGTTTTAAAAGGTGACATTCAAAAAGTTATGAAAAGTCTTTCACGGATATTTCAGAATAAATAAAGCTGAAGACAATGGCTCTGTTCCAAAACCAAATAAGCTCCCTATGAAGGCAGCGTTTTAAGATGTCACAGTCACGCTCATGGCGTGAAGTTTAACAACTGACAAAACCAGCTATGCTGCTTGGCTGGTCTTAGCTGTTTTAAGATGGTCAGCTGGTCCAATCAACCAGCTTAAAGGGTTAGTTCAGCTCCGGGCGGATGACATATGAGTTCAGCGTTGCGCATGCGCCGGTGAGTCTCGTGAAAACCAACGTTTGTTTACAGGAGCAAAGGAAGCAAAGTTTCCTTACTTTAGCAAAGGAAAACCAGTCTCCTCTTGGCTTATATCGAAATCCTCCAACATTCTTCTTTACAAATCCTCGTTTTGTACTTCTAATTCTTGATCGTTGTTTTGTTTTGATCTCTCCCCTGCGCTTCCGCGTGCGTCACTTCTGAGCAGCGCATGCGCAACGCCGAGCTCATACGTCATCCGCCCGGAACTGCTTCCATGTAGGACTGTTGGCGTAAGCTAGATTAAAATGATTATTACGTTTTGAATATGGATATTTTTCTTACAAAAAAGCATCGATTCGCTACAGAAGGCCTTTGTTCACCCCCCGGAGCCGTGTGAGACACT